TGAACATACACCTGCATTTTAATTTGAAAATTATACTGCGGTCATAAAGAGAGAAAAATAGTATTTTTGCAAGCCTTTTTATTGTTTTTCTTAAACAGTTGCTGGTCATGAGCCTGCCAGATCCTAAACGTTACTTTTCAGCATTTCTTTCATCGGGTAACTGAGTTCATCAGGCTTGATTGTATTTTCATAATCACAGCACAAGTTTTTAAACGCGATTCAATTTATTATTCTTCGCTACTATTCTTGACACTACGTGATTCATTTGTTATGCAAAATGCTATACACGTTAAGTATTCTTATATGCACACCAACACCCAAAACCACATATACATGAACACACCCATGTATGTATGTATGTATGTATGTATGTATGTATGTATGTATGTATGTATGTATGTATGTATGTATGTATGTATGTATGTATGTATGTATGTATGTATGTATGTATGTATGTATGTATGTATGTATGTATGTATGTATGTATGTATGTGTGCGTGTGTGTTACGGTTCGCACAGTTGTCATGTGGCGATGGTTTATTTTTCATCTAGGTGACCGACCGCGATGTTATTAAGTACATAAATATGAAATTAAGGGGGTAGCAGATGTGAGGAGAAATATAATATAATAGCATGAGCCCCCGTATGTAAAATATAACAATTTAATCAGTCTGTGACAAATTGGCGGCGTGCAAAACACAACAACCTCTTTCAATACGGTTCGTTGCTAGGGAATGACCTCCGCAGTGTAATTTACCCAGTGTGGATAGATAGAAAGAAGAATGCAGATCACTGAACAAGTATATTGAAGAAATAACACGACGAGCCCCCTTTCAATGAACAAATATAAAATTTAATCAGTTTATCAACAAAATTAAAATGAAAAGAAATCAATGACGTGGTTACAAAAAGAAGGAAGATGGTACTAACATGTGCTCAAATAAAAAGACAATACAATTTTCTTTAAATGTAAAATTACATACAACGTTAATATACTATCTTCATTGCCAATGAGATGTGACCTTTGAGTGCAACGATGAGAGTCTTCATCACCTATTTTATGCGTACATCCAGACTCGCGTTTGTCCCTGCTCTGCCGATCTTTTTCTGGCTGTTTGGTCTTGGACTCTTGTCCGTCGAACTCTGATTTAACAATCGTCTCTGGACTTAGATTTCGGCTTAGAATTTGCTCTAGTCCTGTGATTGGTTTAGGGATTTCTCAAGTGAATCCAGGAAAGCTGTTTCCTTCAAGAAATACAATCTCTCGCAATAGACAATAGGTCACATTCCCTAGTATATCGATATTTTTACATTAATTCGGCTCAGAAAACAAAAGGCATAAATTTTGTCGCAGTAACTCATTTCTCCCTAACTGTTATGTTTACATAAACGGTCAAGGCTTGTCCTGACCTTAATTCGGATCACGCTAGGGGTGGTCAATTAAATTCAACTCAGCCGTATGAACCCGTATGTAACCCTTTCTTGACTTCTTACTCTACCAATCTAGCAGTGTTACATATGGCTTAGACCCTCAGATCTAACTATTCTAAAATAGTTTACTCGACCAATTAAATATTACAAACTATCATATAGATATACCCTTAAGTGATGAATTAAATATTACAAACTAGCATATGGATATACAGTTCATATTATATCATACTAGATAGAGTTAATCCATACAACTATGAAACATTACCCATCCTTCCTTAAGCTTAATTCATGAAAATTCCTAATCACTCTTATGTATTAAAAATTCATTTACATGCAATCTTGTCAACCAATCTAATGAAATTTTAATTTCATTCAATCTTGCCAATTCTCCAAATGAATTGATAATTAGAAAATTAAAGAATAAAATGTCATGACCAGCATTTCACTAAAATCCTGCAAAATGAAATCGTACATACGTACATCATATCAAGAATACATTTGCAATTATATAAACAAATAAAATAACATATTACAATCGGGGAAAGTTTGCCTATCTTTTGCCGTTTTCTTTATTCGTTTCCACGAACTTCAAGTATAGTTCTCTGCTGTGCTGGCTTTCTTGTGCTGTGGTCACGTTATCTGATAGCACCAGTCTACTATTTTGCTTCTATCATTCCTATCTTACTTGTCTCTTTTGTATTTCCTACCTGAACAATTCCTTGAGTCATTAGTTTGATTCTGAAAGTATTTGCTGAATGTCTTAAAATCTTTCCATTTATTTACTATGGATATAGGTAATACAAATGTCCTAATGTCAGTATTAGCAACGTAAAAAGGAAAACATTTCGAAATCGAACGAAGAAGGTTATAGTGAACAAAAATATGTTATAATTAGGAGACAACTTGATGAGAAAGTACATGTACAAATTGGAGATGATTAGGTCCAAAAAGGCCGCTTTCTAATGCCCTAACCCCAATGAATAAGCTTGCTCATTTATCACCACTTATACTGGTGACCTATTTCTTCTTTAGATGACTGTGTTAAAAATCTAGAATTTCTTGTGCACGTACTACAGTACAGAACCCGATACTTTGCACACTAAAAACGTAACTCTCCCAACGTCTGAAGCCAGTGTGAAAAATGTCACAAATCACTATGATGGTTGCAGAAACGTGTAGTGTCATTCATTGGTGACCAGATATGTTAAACGTTTAGAAAGCAGCATTAGTCAAATGTCAAATGCTAAGGCAAACAAAGCCATTAAGCGTACCATCTGAAAATGTTAAGACGAACTAGTTTTAACAAATGCCTCAAAAGCTCTTTAGAACATAAATTTAAAATAAGAAATGATGATACAGATTGTATTTTCTGATAATATACCAGTCATCAGGTCAACTCAAGTTTATGTTGAAAATGCTAATTTTATATTAAAAAAAAACAAATGGAGGAAGATGGAAGATATGTTCTTCTGATTATTTTTGTTCAGAGATAACTGTAAGTGCATAATAGACATTGTACGCTTTGTGTGTTATCATTTTCCTATGAATCATTAAATACCTACAAAACAGATGGTGCATCCTCCACTACAATGAAACAATTTTATACTGGTAAATTTGTTGCAATAGATCATGTCTTTCCCTATTTAGTACGTAGCATGCTGATGAAAATATACCCACATTAAAAATGAAAATGCAAACTTACGCTGGACACTGAGGGTACCGTTATGCACTTTTTAATTTTTTTTATCTCTTATATTTTCAAAGCAATTTTAACAAACTGGCAACATCATGCTAAGAAATGGTGTTATCCCCGTGACCCTGTTTGAACAAAACATTCAGTTAAATTTATAAGGTATTCTTTAAAACTGATATGAAGTTTATGCAATGAAAAAATTAGTTTTAAATGCGATATATGCATAAAAAAACAAGTCAGGACAGAACTGGTTGCTAATACAGTACCCAGTTACTAAACTGATTGAACATGAAGTAGTTATTATTCCTTTATGTTTGAAAATACTCAGAAGAAAATCTTAAAATTAGGCAATTATAATTTATTATGTAAATGTTGTAAACTCTTTAATATAATTGTTGTATACTCTTTAATAGATTTGTTGTGAACTCTAAAAAGCATTGTTCATATCATTAAGCAGGTGATGTTACCCCCACCCCATTTCACACCTAAGAGCTGGATCGAATTCTAACATTGTCATGCTCCTGCATATTCATGATTCCCATTCATCTCCACTTGTCTGTATGGTTATTTGTGTAATTGCATGACGTCAACAACTCATGCCATCACAGCATTTCTATATGAAATTACATACATGTTAACTGTCCTACCCTCACCTTCAGATCCATCGTTTGATATGAAATTGAAATTCTTAAACTGAGACTTCTTTTGTGCATTCGAAGACATACCACAAAGTCTGAAGTCCGGATTGGCACTACATTGTAAATAGACGCACTGCTAGGATGACTTCAAGCCACCCTTCCTTCCCAAAAAGATGGTAATGTTTCAAAATATAAGGATCCTTTACTTGCCCAGCCTACGTGAAGTAATTACTGAGAAATACTAACTTTATATAGATGTTAATAAAACATTCATAAGAAAAGGGAATGTTAGCTAATTAATTTGTCTGCTTCTCTTTGTTCACTTTGTGTTTAACATTAAGTTACGTCCATTGCAATTTAACTCTAGGAATAAGTCCATTGCAGTTTTACCCTAGAATATAAATTTGGTGCTGTATCCTAGCCAACCGGAAGTTCCAAAAAACCATTTCCAAGATCTAGATTGAATGAAAATAATTTTATAAATCTCTATTACTTTCAAAGCAATAAAGTGACACAACTGCATATGGAAAGAACAGTTGGTATGTTGTAAGAGAATATGTCATGGATTTACATCTATAATCTTCAATAACATCCAGCAGAGAATAATCATCGGGAAGATCCTGTAAGAAACCGCTTGCGGTTGTTCCTGTATTTTGGGGTTTTTTTTGTTGGGCGGCCAGTATTAATGGTGTAGGAAGAAAACGGGAAATCACCGGAAAGAACCAGCGACCAACGAGAAGCTACTGGCAAACTTTCTCACATATCAACATTCGCCGAATCCTAGACTCGAACCCACGCAGACAGAGGTGAGATGGCAGTGATCCGTAACAGACAGCGCTTTAGACCACTCGGCCATTCGGGGCCCCTGCTTGAGGTGGTAAATGACCAGACTATCGGCTCAGCGAAAATTCTTCTAAAACCAAAGGAAACACAATCGGTGATTCTCGCGTAATACAAATAAGATAATTCCTGTTTGCGCATGTGTGTGCGTGTGTGTGACTTGCGTTTTGAAGTAGTTTTAATAATATTTCAGTCATATAGTCATATCGCAACTTTATCTGCAGTGTGACATTTTATAGTGATGTCTAGCACTGGGGCATCATGCTGCAGACATGTAGTATCATGTACCACCCAGTCTCATTATCCTAACACCAGGCTGACCAGTCTTAACACTTACCTCTTAATTCTGAGCACCTAGAGAAGTAGCTTTTAGTACCATTATTAAATGTTTTTGCTATCACTCGACGGGCTTCCAACCCGACACCTCCCGTATCTGAGGCAGGCGCTCTAACCACTAAGCCAAAGGAGCGGT